TTTTTTTTTTTTTTTTGCGGTACTGGGGATTGAACTTAGGACTTTGCACTTACCAGGCAAGTGCTTATTCTACTGAGCTATCTCCCTGGCCCTGGACCATTTATTTTTTATTGAAATTTTTTTTATAGTAAACAAACCAAACAAATAACCAAAAGGTATTTTGAAGAAAACGTGCCTGAGACAACTTCGTTTTGACAGACCACAGAGTATTATTCAACATAAACATCAAGGTCAGGAAAAGCAAAGAAACTGCTCAGGCCTTCTTAGGCAGACTGAAGACATTCAACTGTGGCCAGGGCTTGGTTCTGGAAAGGCAATATGTGAACAGTAGCTGAGACACGGGCTAGCAGAGCAACGACAGGACTGCAGCTCTTAATTTTCTTCTGTTGACACCTGGACTGTGGCTATGTAAGAAGACAGGGGTATCTTTAGGAAATTATATCCAAGTATTTAGGAGTAAAGAGTACAGAATCTGCTATTTACTTCGAAAGAGTTCAGAAAAAAAGATGTATAAATATGCAGAGGCAACGGCGAAGCAAATGTGGCCAAGTGTTGAAATTGGGGAGTTTGGGTGAAGGAAATGTTGGAATTCTTTGCACAATTATTCTTATATCTTTTTTTTTTCCAAAGTGTGAAACTATGCCTTTTCCCTTGGTCCATCTACTTAAGAGATAGCTTGGAAAGAGGGTGGGTATTCTCCTAAGTCCTGATATACGATTCTGGGCAAAGAGATATGCTTAGTCATTTTCTGTTGCTATAAAGTACTCTTGAGACTTACAAAGAATCCTTGAGTGACTTGAGGCACAAGGTTATTAGACTCATGGTTCTAAAGGCTGGCAAGTCCAAGAAAATGGCACCAGCATTTGCTTGGCTTCTGGTGCTGCTTCAACTCATAGCACAAAGCAGGAAGGCAGGGGGGTGCCTGCTAAAAAGAGGGCCCAACTCACTTGACAGCAGGTGCTAATCTACTAGTGAGGACTCTCCCCCATGACAAGAATGCTTCCATTAGATCCCTGAACCCTCCACACTGTTGCACTGAAGAATTATGGTTTTAACACATCAACTTTCTGTGGACATACTCAAATCCTAGCTCTGGAGGACTGAACTTGACACTGCTGTAGAAAAAGAAAACACCAGCAGTTCCAGTTCATGATGGGTTATTTCACAGTCATGTAATTTGGGAAGATGTCCCAGATGGTAAGCAGCAAGAAATCTGCCTCTCCAAGATTCTGAATCAGACACTGGGAAATAATAACTTAGGGAAGGAATGGAGAGCGGTAGAGTCCTGGGACCCACGAAGGACTTGAAGGTAAAATTGGACCCTGAAGAGAAGCTGAAGAGAGAGCACAATGCAGAAAAAGGGGCAAGCAGCACTTTCCCCCAGCTCCTGGTGTGAGAAAAGAAGCTGAATCTACAGACACAAAGTAAAAGCAGGAACTCCAGAGGCCTCCAGTGACCAGATAGGGAGAAACACAGAGGAATAAAGTAGTAGATGGTATGAGCTACAACAGCTGATTGTCTGGGGGATACAAACAACACTGCAGTCAAGTACCAAAAAAGTGTGGTAGGCCTACCAGGGTGCAACCTCTCATTCCTAATAAATAGAAGAGGCAGGATTCTGGGACATACTCAAACACCAAAAGTCAGCTATACATAGAAGACATCTCTGAAAAAAGAGTCATTTCTTAGAGAGGCCTTCATGCTACTAATAAAACTACCTACCATAAGCAATTTACAACCATCAATGCAGAAAACAAACAAACAAAGGAAAATGAAAAACATGAAAGCAAGATGCATCCCTCGACTTCCAGCTCACTCAAGGCAAATCCAGAGGGCATTGAAGCGGAAGTAAAAGACCAGCCAGCTGTTCTTTCTGAATTGGTAGCACTGGAAATAGCAAAACAGACGAATGAGTTTCTAGAAAAAACAAAACAAACAAGCAAACAAAAAACCAAAGAAATACAACCAGAAAATAAAAACTACAGAAATAAGTACAAAGGTAATTTAAGAAGTGATGATCATAATAAAGGACATGGTTAATGAATCTAGAGTAGACACAGATTAAAAAACAAAACAAAACAAAACAAAACAAAACAAGAGATCGTGAAAGTGACAGAAACCAACAGAAGGTA